TTGAGCGGCCTGGTCACAACAACAACAACACACGCGTATCTTTAGCGACAACCAATTTTGCTGTGAGCGGTTTCGTCCCCGGTCGACACAATGGCGGCCTTGTCGTGAGATCCCCACTCTGCTGCCTCATTCGCGGTTGACTTGGCCATCATGACACTCAGACGTTGACGTTTGTTGCGTCTTGTCACTCTTCCTCCACCCCCAGGTAACCCTCCCCTGCACATGCCAGACCAAGGCTTCGGGCCCAACAGCTTCCTGGACCTGGCAATCTTTTCTGGTCCGTCCTAACCGACTCACTTCGTCTCGTATCGTATCACACCCTTCGATGTCGTCCCCGGGGTGGTCCATTCGAGTGACCTCCTTGAGTCTCATCCCTCTGCTTTGCCGGCATACGCTGGCCAAGGATGCGGCTCATGCTCTCGACCGTCTGAATTCGATGATGTGCCAGGGATGTGCTCTGATCATCTTTTCCATCCAATCTTTTCTTTATAAACCTGGGTGATCTCCTTCTCGGCACCAGATCTCTTCTTCTTGGCTATAGCTTCTCATCTTCGTACGACATTCTCTTCGCCGTTTCGATTCATTCTTTCAATACGAGTTCTGAGAACTCATTCCATTCTTTGCATCGGCTTTGATTGCTCTACGTTAACGTTTTACCATATTCTCTTTACTACCCTTTTTTCAATACTACTTCAGTCGAAAACTGTAGGCAGAAGGCCGGTCTTTTCTGTTCGAACTTCAATCGACGTCGATAATCATCAATTTCGGTCAACATGAAGTACCAAGCTGTTGCATTCGCCGCTTCATCCCTCCTGGCTCTCGCCGAGGCTGGGTCTTACCACCGCCACCACCATGTTCGCCGCATGGCCAAGCGTGAGGTTCCCCAGGAGCACTCTCACGAGATCTTCCTGAACATCACCCGCGAGTTCCTCAACAAGCAGAACCCCAAGGCGATCGCCGACCCCGTCTTCGGCCTTCTCGGTGATGGCGCTGCCAAGACCGGAGCTGGACAGGTCACCAACCTCGCCTGCCTGCACCAGGAGACTGCCGACCAGGCCTTCACCAACGCCAAGGCCGAGAAGGATATCCGCGGAATGTCTGCCGCTCTTGTCTACGCTTCCCTCGAGCGCAACACCGCCGGTGTTGGTGTGGCTTCCGCCGCCTGCACAGACACCGCTGTCAACCCCGAGATCGCTGCCATCAAGGCTCACCAGGATCCCGCTACCGACAACGCCGCTGCCGACAACAAGGCCGTCACTCTGGAGCTTGCTAAGCAGCTCGCCTCCATCGGCGGCGACCCCATGCTTGCTCTTGAGAGCGGTACCTTCGCCCCCGGCGAGAAGACCGACACGACCTTCAAGGGTAACTCTTGCGACGACCAGAACGACCCCAACGGATGCATCTTCACCACCAAGACTCTTGTCCTCGATGCCACTCCCGATGAGATCAACGCCGCCGTTGCCGGTATCAAGTCCACTATTACCGGCGGCACTGGTGAGCTGAAGGCTACCCACATTGACATCAACGGCCTGAAGGTTGCTGGCGGCGGTACTGCTACCGGAGCCACCAACGGAGCTGCGAACACCACCTCTGGAACTGGAAGCAGCAGCAGCAACAGCGGCAGCTCTAACACCGGCAACTCGAACACCGGCAGCAACAACAAGGCCAAGAACGCCGCCGCTTGCGCTGCTCGCTCCACCAACAGCAACGCCCAGGCTTCTGCCAACAACTCTACCGGCAACGGCAACACTGGTAACACTGGCAACAGCGGCAACGCTGCCGGAGGCACCAACGTCCAGACCTTCACCGGCTCTCTCGGCGGCGCCCCTCCCCCGGTCATCCAGACCTCCGGCACCCGTCCCTTCTCCGTCAACGGCGACACCTTCGTCGGTAAGAATGCCGCTCTCGGCCGCTCTTGCGATGTTCAGCACAACGCCTGCGCCAACGCCGCCAACAGCGGAAAGCTCACCGGTGGCGTCCAGCAGTGTGAGGACCAGAACACTCAGTGCCATGCCGCCATCGGCAAGCGCAGACGTTCCCTCAGGATGCGCCAGGCCTCCGACTTTGGTTCTTGCAGCGACCCCAGCATCGAGTTCTCGAACGCCCTCAAGGACCGTCAGGGCCCTGGCTTCATCGCCACCAACCAGCAGGACTTCAACCACGGCTCTGCCCAGAAGATTGGAATCATTGCCGGCTTCATCTGCCAGCGCCTCCAGGACAGCTGCAAGGCCCCCCAGGCTACCATTGATAGCTGCAAGGCCGCTGAGACTGCGGCTACCGCGGCCACTCAGGACCAGGCTGCCGCTGATGCCTTCAACAGCAAGCTCGTTGGCGGCTCTGCCGGCAGCTCCAACTCCACTGCTCGTTTTTAGAGGATCAGTGCACTTAGTGTACCTTCCAGGGTCGAATGAGATGAATGGAGGTGAATGGAGGAGGGATCTAACCAATGATCGGGTTTACATTTGCAAAGTCGTTGGTTGAAGGGTGGCATCAGTTATAACAAGATATCCTATGTATGAGTCAATGTCATGGATTGGTACCGATGGTTTCTCGGTTTGGAGTCTCGGTGATAGTTCAAAATGAATTCCAATTATTTAAACTGGGTCCTTCTTCTTATGTGGCCATGTGGACTGCAACATTAAGAGACTGTTCAAACGTGCTTGCTGCGAGATCCGGGGTTCCCATAGCATCCAAGAGCGTGCCGTTGGAACCATCAACTAAATCAGAGTCCAAGAAGAACAAACGCTGCCACAGAACTAAGTACCACGAAGTCCATGAGCTTCGGGACTTTAGCAGAGGTAGACGAGGCTGACTTTTTATTTGGAGAACACGAGTAGTGTTCCCGGATGACGCCCTGCTTGTATAACGACTTGAATGGGGTGCAGTTGAGCGGTGGACCATCTCCAAACTGACGGATATCGAATGACTCTAAGATCAGCTGGCGTGTCGAAGAATTCGAAACAGTTTCTTGATAAGCCAAGAAAGATTCGCTGCGAGAAGTCAGCAAACAAAGGAAAGGCAAATCGATGGTGTATGTAAGCGCTCACAAGAAAGCATCCGTCATTATAGCCCCTAAGTCTATTTTCTTGATGTTCTTCTGCGGCCAGTACCACGACCTGACTGTGTTTCCTGCCTCGTCAATCATGTACTCAGATGAAAGGTTCAGAAGCGGGCTCCGACTAATATTGTAATAGTACGGTGCGTCCATATCCAGAGCAAAGTCGGTCCATTCTGATGCCTGGGGATGGTTCGACAGCCAACGCAGGTTAGGCGCGTACGAGACATAGAGCTCTCCCAGCTGATCGAACGGCAAATCCAGATGTTCAAGATAATCATTACCGGAGATGTTAATCTCATCTACTGTGAGTCGGTTGAGAGATTCTTGTCGCTTTAATCCATTGGTGGCATTTCGGCATCGGAGGTAATCTACGTGCACGTTTTCGGCATCGTGTCCTCCGAAGATGATCGTAACGTTACCGGCACCGGGATATGTATCTTCACCGTAAGGCTGACCCTCAAATTGTAGCAGTGTTGTGTTTGCGAAGCCGAAATGAATCTCTTTATTCTTGGAATTGACCTCGATTGCTACCCAGAATACGCTCAGCGGGTAGCGAAAGACGCTGTCAAGAGATTCGAGTCCAGTCGCCAAGACAAGGGATGTTTCATTTGAATAGCTTCCATAGCCTGTGGCGTTTCTTCCATAGCCTGTGATGTTTCGAAGCCCATTGTGTTTCAGTGTCGTCAAGCTTGGAACCCGCAAAGTAAATCCGCCGACTGTTTCGAGGCCAGTGATATCGAGATACTCCAAGTTCTCAAGATAGTGGATCATGAAGTCGGTTTCAACTGCTTTGAGGTTTGGAAGACTGATGTTTCTGAGGTTTGCGTTCCATATTATTTGAATCTCATCGACGGCAGTAAGCGTACTTGAACTGATTATTTCCAGAGGATATTCGTCCTTGCAACCCTTAGGCCTGTCCCATGCACAGACTTCCATGGTCACAAGACTGCCGTGGATTCGCTGGATGCCATCGAGGTTCACCTCGCGAAGGTAGGGACCTACGACAACATCGCCATCAATCTCTGGACATTGCCGCGCCGCTTGCAACTTTTCGATAGAGTCGATGGTGAAGTTGCTGCAAGCCTGAGCCAGGACTCCTGCCGGGAGCCTGTCAGCGAGGTTTCAAGGATCATGTGTCGAGTTATCGAACGAATATATGTACACACCTGACGCAGGAACCAGAACGGCAATTAGCAGCCAAGCGATCATACCTGCAAGAATACCCGGAGAAGAGGAACTTTGCGGTTTGACTGGGGACATCCCGTTATTGAAATGAACAGACAACCATTTTAAAGCAATTTTCTCACTCGCGCCAAGAACCCTTGGGACATGATAAACCAACAAGTACATGTGATTTGCCCGTTGCAGAACCATCGACAGGGTTTACCAAAATGAGTTGACTGGGTTCCGGGATTATGGCAGCCCCATGGTTCGGGCTGCTGCCTCGTGTTGGTTCCTCATTAGCACTCAATCCGACTTCAACATTAGTAAACGAGTCTTCGAAAGTGCGAAGCTATCCTTCGAATGAAAACCTATCGCAACTCAGCAATAAACCTTTAAATCGTCTGAAATGTCCCGAAGACTGTCCATTGTTTTCCGTTCACATTTTGATACTCGGACATCGCAACCGCCTGAAAGTCTGTGGCACGCCAGGCTGTTGTCCTGAACCAGGGTCGGGTCACCGACCTTCCCAACGGGGCTAGACACTACATGCGTCACTTTCCAGTCCCCAGTCTGCTCGTATAATAGGCCAATAAGAGTATTATGCCAAGGCGAACGAAGCTCAAAAGAAGATAAGCTTAACAGGAAAGCATGCAGGGAAGAAAGGCTCGATATACGGATACTTGCCGAGCTGTCTCCAGGTTCGCCATACGAGAGGACATCTAGACCACAAACGGGAGCAGAGCCATTCATTTCTTATTCAATGTGTAATGAAATATATCTAATCAACGCGCGGCAGCAACAAAGAATCCTCCAGCAAGCGATCCATATCCTCAGTGCATATGTGAACAGAGACATCGACACCGCTGTCAGTCCAAGACGGCCGAGATCCAGACAGGAATTCGCCGGAAGATGGAGGGGCTTCTTTGATGAGAATGTTGCCATCCAGGTTCGGCACGACGCCGTCCGCGTATCTTATGCTCGAGCCAAGACCAAAGCCAACGTCGTAGAGGCCAGCGCGCGCCCAAGTCGTCACCAGGATATGACGCCGGCCAAGGAATGCCTGCCATATTCGTTGAGGGGACTTCTCATATGTAGCGCTATGAAGATGATCTGCGAGATTTACCGGGCTACTGATCTTGGAAATCGTAGCTCGAACTTTTCCAGCGATGGCTCCTATCGCTTCCGTGGCGTTACCTGGCTGTTGGTAGCAGACCTCGGAGCCGGGCAACTCAACATTCATCATGATGATCGGAGAACCCATAAAGTCCGCACTTAGCTTGAACGCGGACCGAACACCGAGTACAAGATCACAATGGACGTGGCCGTCATCCTTACCGAGTTGACGTGCACGAATGATGCAAGACCAAACGTGTGCCAACACGGCATCGTGCTTGCTGATTCTCGGGCCGTCACCCTCAGTGCCCTTCGTAGCCTCCTTCCAGAGGAAATCTACCTGTTTGGTGTTGAGATGAATGGTGTAGTCAGAAACGGGGGCCTTAAGATCCCACTCAGCCCATGGCATGGGCTTGCCTGCTGGAGACACCGGCCTGGCGGCATCGAGAAACGGTGTGGGAGGCTTTCCAGGCGCAGCCCACCAATCATACCGGTGCAAGGGCAACCGCTCCGTTCGTCTGATGATGGCCGGATCCGGCTCTTCGGCATTGATGTTCCCCGCGGCAAGATTGTCTAACCGCGCCGGCTCAAATACGGGGGCCGGGACTGGAGCTTCCAAGCCTTTGACTACGGCCCTGCTCACACTCGCCCAGTCCTTGACGAAGCGGATAAGACCTGCGATGTCCGCGAGAGGATGCGCGGTCTTGACAGCGAGGACAAAGCCATCATCGGAAAAAGTAGTGCATTGAACAGCCGTAATCGGCTTCCGTAACCCAGTCATGGCAATGGGCTCGTTGGGTTGGAGAGCCTGTGCAATGTCGGTAGGAGGCACAAATTTACCGAGAGGATCGTCTTTGCGATTCCAAAGCGGTTGCGTCTCGACGCGCCCGGTTGGGTAGAGCGAGTCCGTAGTGACAGAGCTACTTGCTGAGATGAACTCCACACCGACATCTGCGGAGGCCCCAAAGTGCGTGTACACGCGGCCGAAGCGACGGGCGTGAGCTGGGAACCCCTTAGCCTCGGCCGGGACCGACGCATCGTCGACGACTGTAATGGATTTTAGCTGGCCAGCCCACTGTGGGTAAGAACTAAGCGCAGTGCTGAGTGTTTGGCGGAGGTGCTCTGCGACGTCCGGCACATCCTTGCCCTTGCGGGGCTCGAAGAGCCAGATGGCGTTTGTGAGAGCGAAGTTGGCGGTGGTTGCATCCAGCAGCGACAGGGGGATCGCCTGTTCATATTGCGCTGGCGATTGAGGAAACACGCGCTCCGTCTTGGTGACGATAATCTCCACCTTGGGCGACATAGTTGCGGGTGGCATGATGGAGTCGAAACGCAGCTTTTGGATGCCGCTAATGAGTGGTTTGACGATGTAATTCACTCAGGGGTAAATGAGCCATGCGACAGGCAGAAAATTACTAACTCCAGCGTCTAAAAGTCACCGAGAGATCCAACAGCATGGCGCAATCGAATCGTCAAGAGAACACCTACCAGACGTGGGTTGGAAGTGGGGCTTGGCCCGGTGCCGAGTAGGGAATCCTCCGAACTGCCATGATGGTTTGAACCCGGTTGAACCAACTCGAAACGATTACGATGAAATTTCATCAAAGTCCGCATGATTTTCATGTGGCCTTGAAAAACCTACCTAGCGGTTTTTGATTTTGCAATCAGAGGTATGGTCAACTATCAGCCTCCGCCAGTCATCGTCAATCGGGCCCCATGGCGAGCCAGTAAGGATGTGCTATTATGTTCTGAAAGTAATTACACTCACACGTTCTTACAGTCTGGGGATACGGAATTTTAGCCATCATCGATATGGCTCTCAATGCCGCCGGCGGTGTGGCAGGCGCCTAAGTTGGTGCCACCCTCAATGGCATCCCACCATCAGCCTTGGTTCTCCAACTAGGAGCTCTCGCTGGCCTCACGAAAAGCGCTATAACGAAATTCAGGCAGGTTTTGCTTACTTATAATGTTAATATTGTCTTTACTGTTTTGCTGCTCTTAATTGCGTCCACATTTGACGTTTGCCCCCTGCTAGTTACAAATGTTGGAAATATCGCTCTTAGAAACAGTCAGTGCGTTCAAACCACGTTTGATCTTTACAGGAGTTCACATAAAGCAGCATCCAAGGAACTCGTCATTTCTGCTGTAGTAGCAGCATTTCCACTCGTATTTGAGACAGTCCGTGGCCTTCGTCCTAAGCTAGACGAAGAAGGGAAGGTGGATTGTTTTCGGTGGGTAACTCAACCGTAAGACAAGAAATGTCTCTGAGGAACGACTTATAAAAGAATACACTATGGCCATCAACTTACTCTATTGTAGATGTGGTCTGTATTCTTCGCTAGCTCCAACGCACTTGGTGGATACGTCTTCGCGCGAATGGCAGCGAACGAGGGTACTTTAGGGTTCTCATCACACATCTACTTATGAGGTAATAGTTAGCTTTATGTCAGATATGCCAATCAACAACTATTATACTCGGTCGGGGCTACTTACGGAATATTGACGTTTCTGGCCCGCACCATCACCGGTATCATAGCCATGTACAGAACTGCCGCTGGGAACACCTACACGGACATATTTGGTGTCTGGGATCTTGTCCAGCCGGAAACAATACAAATGACACGGGCAGACCACAATGCCATGCGCCAGACTCTGGTAAAGTCTTGCACCCACATCATTGCAAGGTTGTTACGTATATTGGATTCGATGATGAGAATCACGAGCCGCTGTTTCTGCTGCTGTTTGACTAGGCAAGAACATGCGGAGTTCAGACGAACCGAGGGAAGCCACACAGATGACACTGCTGCCATGAGTGGTTTCTTCATGGCAGAAAGACATATGCCGGCCGCTACAGCTTAGCTTCCTTGAGCATTTGCATCTGGGTGGCAGGTTGATGTAATGCCAAAGGTCCTAGAAAGGCAGAGGAAGATTTTGTATTCATCATTTTGGCTTCGGGCACATCATTACCAATACAGCCTCACAGCGTCGTCTACTACGTGGTCATGTTTACACATGGGGATTGTGGTCTGCTTCAAGTTCTGAGACGATATGTGAATAACGGTTATATCAAATAATTTAAGTTTATTAAATCTCGTGAGGTTTTTGTTTGACATGTAACTACTGTCCCTCAACCTCCTTGACAACTCTCTTGGTGGTCTCATCGAGATCCTCCGCTTCAAGACCAATCTTGGTCAGATCAGTGACCTTATCATTGTAGTCACCTCCCCAGCCAGCTCTCATATGGTTAACATAGAAGGAGATCAGACCAGCGACGTGGTCGCCCTTCTTCGCAGCCTCCTCAGCCTGGGCAACAACAGTGGCGGCGTCAGGCTCCTCAATCTTCCAGTCCTTGTCCGTGGTGCCAGTGGCGCGCTGGATGCTGTCGAGCATGTCACGCTGGCTGATGTAGAACGACTTAAGGTAGAAAGGCTTGTTGCGGTACTTCTCAAGCTCGGCGTCGGGCAGGCTCAAAACACCAGCGGTACCCTTACCGGTGGTGCCAATGTTGGTAGTGATAAACTTGGTCTTTCCACCATCGTACAGCTTGGCGGTGCGGTTCTTAATGTCGATGCCCCAGAAACCAGCGCCCATGGACCAATCGTACCAGGGGTTGTTGACAATAGCGATCCAGCTAGAGCCGAGCTCCTCAATCAATTTGCGGATCTGAATCTTGCCCTGGAGAATAGGGCTGGATTCGAGAAGCTTAGAAGGGTCCGGGGCGGAGCCGTACTCGGTGGGCAGGATCCACTTCACACCGGCCTTAGCGGCGGCGCGAATGAGAGGCTCTTGGCCTGTTGCGTAGCTGGAAAAGCCGAGGGCGAGCTGGACAACATCCTGGCCCTGGAATGCCGAGACGAGGAAGGATTCGTCTTCGTAGCTTCCCTTCTTCACGATCACACCCTCGGGGAACGTGGCACTTGACTCGGTGCGGGTGACCGCGGTGATAGTGTGAATGCCCTTGGCGAGGAGAGCCTTGAGGGTGCCGCCACCAACGTTACCGCTGGCACCGACAATGGCGATCTTGCGTCCCTGTTGTCCAGACATTTTGTAAAGATTTGAAAGTTTGTATAGTTGAAGTGGATGTAAGAAGTTCGTGTGGTGGTGGGTTTAAGTACAATACTTAGTCCGTTTGCGGCGATTGGCGTGATGGAATGCTAAGCTTTGGCGGCTGAAGTATATCGGTTCAGGGAGGGAGGATGTCTCTGTGATGTGAGAAGTGATGTTGTTGAGTACTGATGTAGAAGACTGAACCGGCTTTGGGGGAAGAAACGAGGTCTCTTTAATATTCCGATCACGCCTTTCAAGTTCAACCCCATCTCAATGTCGACATCGATAGATCGATAATCCATGGCTAGTAAGGGGATTTGCTTCCGAGATGCGTCAGCGGATCCAGATCAGTTAAGGCTTGACCCTGTGGCGTCTAGCAAACCAACAAAGAGTACGCGCGCGGTTTCGTCGTGGGGTTTCGGCCTCCTGCTCTGCCCTGCACTTCACTAAAAGACACTGGTGGTCCACTGACTAATGGAATGCAAGATTTCTAAGCCCACTATTCGGACCTACCAATTGCAGGGCATTTTGGCATTGTTGCCCGGGATGCGGCCCTTTCGGGTACGATGGCAGTCCGAGCCGGAGGTAAATTAGCCTGTTCAGGCCAAACCAAAATCCTTCCGGAGTTTGCACCCATCTTTTGGGGGTCAATTAGTCCCCGATAGCTCTCAATGTTCGCGGTGAATAAGCTTGCGCCAGGTCCATTGACAATTGCATCCATGATTGAGCCCTTGAAGCCCCAAACATCCGAGGCCTTCGCGATGCACACCCTTCGAGCGTGGCCTCATACTGCTCTTTAATTATCCATAGACAACGTGTTTTCTGTGTTTTAAAACAGGAATACGGCTCAAATTAGAGTTGCGATCTTGGTAGAACGTATTTTGAGATGCCGCCCACATGTTTTAGACATTCGTGGCTAAGTAGAGCCACCCGGCCGCAGCTGGCACGCGGCCGGATGCATTTTGAGCCCGCCTGCGGGCTTTTTTATTTTGTTCCCTGTTCTGTGTAGTTTACGCTATCGTGTTATTCAACCCTGCGGGCTTTTCGCCGACAATTGCTGCGTCCAAAACTGAAAGGTTCACGTTTGTGATTGACATGACAGGATGAATGTGCCGTGCACGAACTCGTTTGATCTGGCCATTCGGAAGGTAACACATGTTGATTACGCTGTCAACGAATGCGCGCCGCTCAACTTAGCCGGACCATCGATCGACTTAGATCTACAGGCATGCGGTTTCTGTGCCATGGCGATAGTGAAGGGAGGACAGAGCATTTGAGACCGAGCCCGGAAGTGAGATAAGGACAAGCTATGAAAAGGATCGCAGCCACGCACCGAGAAACAGCGGAGACACGGCGCGAACTCGGCCGGCTCATCGCCGTCAGTGGATCATCTGGTGGGATGACTTCCGCAGCCACTATACCCAATCAGGCAGCAAATCTCTGATTGGTCGAGGTGGGAATTGTGTCGGGAGCCTCATGTCAGATGCGTCGTTTGGGTACCACAAGTGAAAGACCTGAGTGCGTATGGAGCTGGAGATTCAAGGCAGACACCGGAGATTATGCTATACGGAGTCCGAAAAACAGGAAGATGATGGTATCCCCGAGACGGAGGAGTGTTACCAGAGTCCAGCAAAAGACATAAAAGGGTGAGAGTCGATCGAAATACTGGACATGTAAAAGCGGCAGACATAGCAAACCCATCAACTATTCCTTCCCAAGATATCGTTCTGAACTCTTCCCAGAGCCACAATGGATACCATGGGCTTCATTCGCGCACAGCGGCAAAATCTTCCCATCGTTCCAACAAAGGAGACCTGTGCCGGCAAAACCTTCATCATTACAGGGTCGAACTCTGGCATTGGCTTTGAGGCTGTCAAGCACCTTGTCAACCTTGGGTCGTCTCGTGTCATTATCGCTGTCAGATCCATCGAGAAAGGTCAAGATGCAAAAGCTCGCGTCGATGCCTCCACCGGCAGACCGGAGGTCACCGAGGTTTGGCAGCTCGACATGTCATCCTATGAATCTATCCGAGCCTTTGCCAAGAGAGCATCTTCGGAGCTTAGTCGTCTTGACGGATTAGTTGAGAATGCCACTGCAGCCCTGGATAGGTGGACCATAGCTGAAGGCATGGAGACAAGCGTCACTGTCAACGTCATCGGCACAGTGATGCTAACACTGCTTCTTCATCCAAAATTGATGGAGACGACGAAGACTTCAGGCTCGCAACCCCATATCGTGATTGTTACCTCTGGACTTGGTTTCACGCAGCCGGACTTTCTGAAGTACGCAGACAAGGACATCTTTGATGTCTTGAATACTCAAGGGGAATCTCCCATTGAGAAAAGGTATGGAACAAATCCTTTCGTTTCCTGTCTCCAAGAAAATGAGAGACAAAATATCACATGGACGGCTTACTGACTGAACAAATGCAGATACTCAGTTACTAAGCTGGTTCAGATACTTGCCATCCGACAACTCGCAACCATGCTACCAGCGTCACGCACCGGCGTCGTCTTGAACCTACTCAACCCCGGGCTTTGCAACACCGGCCTAGCAAAATATGGCAGAATGACCCTACGGCTTCAGATTCGGATGTTCAACGCCCTGATTGGAAGAACTCCGGAGATGGGGAGCCGCACGATCTTGCACAGCATGTTTGGTGGTGCAGAAAGCCATGGGCAATATGTCTCAGATTGCGAGATCAAGGAGTAAGTCTTCACTACGAAGCACCGATTGGCATGTATGCTAATTGATACATAGTCACTGGGTACCCGAGTGGGTAAAGAATGAGGACGGACGAAAGTTTCAGAACATGGTATGGACTCAGTTGGCAGCACGACTAGAACAGATTGAGCCGAGATGCGTGGAAAAGCTGGTTGCTTGACATCTTGTTGAAATTCTCATACTTAGCCGTTGAAGCTCGATAGAAGAGTCTCTCTTCTCAATATTCCCATTAACCTGTAATTGAAAGATTCTGAACCTTCCTCCAGATTGCTTTGCCTTCAGGGCAATGCAACGAACCTATCCAAGGAAACTTTCGCATCTGTACTTCTACCTGCATCCATTCCTGCAGTCCCATAGTTTTGGTTTCCAAATCCAAAAGAGGGAGAAGCCATGAATCATCCTCCAGTTCAAATACAGATATGCTTCCGAGCAGTAGAAGCCAAAGCCTGACTTTAGCAGAGCATGAGACATCGCCTAATACCTCTTTTATGACGCCGTTGAGTTCGTGCCGAAGTAGATCGCAGCGCAAGTGACGTTGACGGCCGAACTGGAGCATCAGGCTGCTGATGTAGCACGCCATACCTGAGAGACATGCTCTCTGCAACGTGCTGAATGTAGTAATATCTGCCAGCCGTATTCGAACCACTCGATGGCAGAGAGATACTAGCGTCCCCTGAAAGTCGGGGGCGGCAAGTGTCGGTCTCCGTTTCTCGCAGATCTCGTTGAATATGAAACAGGACCTTTCGATGTCACTTACAAGTTGACAGACCACAGTTGATGTACCTCGAAAGATGTCAGATAGAGTTCCAGGCACAAGCCCGTGTGTGATTGCCAATTCTTCCATCACGTATTTCGGTATCTCAATGTTAGGATACCTCGGCCAGGAGTTCGTGTGCAGAGCATATTGTACATCAGTTCTAATACCAAATTTAGTCTTTTCCACAGTTCCCAAGTCCTTGGCAGCTCACCGGCATATCTTCTGCAGCACTTCCAAATTGTCCTCGAAGACGTGGATACCCCCACGAAGTTCAATCATCTGATAAAGCCCTCTCAAGTGCACGTTGTACTTTTCAAGGTCACCTCGAACAGATTCCTGGACACTGAACATGCATGCAAGGCCTATGGTTGTGTCCGACAAAGCCTCAGTCCCAGACAACCTCTCATTGATCATGCTGAAAGCTTGGTTTGTATGCAGTATGGCTTGCTCTGAGTCCTTCTCTGACCGTTGAAAAAAGTCGAGGCAGGTCGCAACTGTAGCAAGGGATACATGGAAAACTGTTGAAGGTTAGAAAACCTGTCTCGCAACCCAATTCATTGCACGAACAGGCTTTATCGTCGATTATGTATTGGAGCCATGCAGACTTGAGGGGGTCAGGCGGGTAACAAATCTCTGGAGGATAGATAGCATCGCCGACGACACTGAAGACTGTGATAATATCATGAGCCAAGATTCGTGTCTTAGCGCGACCCATACGTACACTGATGAAGCAATAGTCGTGTATGTGGTAGTAATTCTGTCCCTGGCGAGAAGTTTGAGATGTCGTTTCCAACCATGCGCCGCAATGATCCTACTACTCCTGTAGGCTCGATGCTCGACCTCTGTGGCTGCTTAGCGTTGCGGATGGTCTTTCGAACGCGTGTTGATAATATTTTCCCGGCATTCTTCCCCTTCATGACATGACTTCTGGCAGCTTTCCGGTTGCTACGGGTATCATTTCCATCTTCGACGAAATGGAATTTCATCTCTGCATCAATCGGTTAACACCCTCAATCGTCGGTTCTGTCGTTATTGGTGCGAATCTGAAGGGCTTTGGTGGCAGATGGGCAGAAATGAGAGGGACTGAAGATGACCGGCAGTCAGAAAAGAAGCCTGGACGCTGACGTGTGAATGGGTTGAAGACCTCAACAAGCCGGGTTTAATTTTATTAAACCCGACCACAAAGCCGGCAGCCAGCGTGACGAATTGGGAAGCGGCGCAGCGAGGCCATTGGGACTTCTGTCACCGAACGTCCCCGAACCATTGACTTTCTCATTTGTGAAAATATCCGGGATCCACGAATGGGCCCTAAACACAGAAAAAGAACGGCGTATGTCAATCGTGACAATGGAAGTGTGTGCTCTTCACTGAGCTGTAGCAGACCGAGCCTGGGCTCATTAGTCGCCCCGAGCAAAACCCCTCTACACAATTGCGAAGTTATGGCCATAGCAACTTCGAAAGTTGATCATTGCCTTCCTAACGTCAATAAGCAGAAGATCAACCATAAGTCTGTCGCCCATGCATGGATCATAGCTCATCTCCACGGAATTTCCCCGCACATCCACCCCGGACACCAGTACATCAGTCACCGCCGAAAATGCTGGCTCGGGTTCTCGGGCCCTCAACATGTTGGAGTTCCCCCGCAGCCAAGGAACACAAAATAGTAACGCGCTAATGAAGGGGTTACCCCAACAAGTAACCACTGACACGTCTCCATGACCTCGGCAGAAACGATCTGAGTCGACGCAAGGGAGCGCAGGGCGCCGGCTTGTCACGGCCTTCGCGGGTGAAGAGACCCATAACGCAGCCAGCCCCCAATCTTGATAAGAATAATGCGGGGAAGCGAGTCGGAGGCTGCGATTCACCAACACTCTCATTTCTCGGTCAGACCCCCTTCAACTTAACTTACTTCACTTCACATCCCCAAGCTCTCTTCATTCCGCGCGCACTGGCCCCTCTCTGAACGCCGCCAATTGCCAGTTCCGCGCGGGCCTTCACTTTATTTTGTCTTTCCACTGTTCCCATTCTGCCGGATTGGGCCTCGTCAAAACATCACCCCCCACGATTCCTCATCAAGTCCTCGTTCATGAAAGGAACGCAGCTTACATGATACAGCTTTGCTCATAGTGGAGACCACGATAATAAGAAACGAAAACAAACCCACAGCATATTCAAAATGGCAACAATTGTTGAGAAGCGGGGTGGCCAGACCATCTATCGATCTCCCGATACAATTGACCTCCCAAAAGTCGATTTGCTAACGTTTTTGTTTGGTATGTGTGACCATCCACAACCTCCACGTGCCTTACTGTAGACATCTCAGCCTTTGATACTGAACGCGGTCTCAGATTATCCCAATGAGAGACTCAACGACGACACCATCCTCCACGCGGAGGCCGCAGACCCGAGCAAGTCCATCACTAAGGGGCGTTTGGTGACCACCCTGAAACAACTTGCTCATACCCTGCGCCATAAATATGGCATTCAAAAAGGAGATGTCGTACAAGTCATCTTCACTGGCCACTACATGGCCCCGACCGTCTTCTACGGTATCATGGCCGCCGGCGGGTCCGTGGCAGCGTCAACTCCATCTTCGTCGCCGCCTGAAGTCGCTCGCCAGATCAATCTCACTGAGAGCAAGATGGTCATCTGCAGTCCTGATCTGAAGGCCCTAGCCGCCGCTGGAGGAACGGCGGCTGGCCTGCCTGCAGACCGCATTCTCTACATTGGCGACACACACGAGTTCAAGCTCTTTGAAGCTAAAACAGACAAGGAAGTACCGTTATCAAAGGAACAGCTGGACTGGGAACGCGTCACGGACCAGACGACTTTGGAGAACACTGTCGGTTGCTACATCTACAGTAGTGGTACCACTGGCGTCCCAAAAGCCGTCAAAATCTCGCACTCGAATATGATCGCCCAAACAATGTTCATCTCCACGCCCACGATTGAGTACTACAAGAAACGTCCCGGTCCCGGAATGAAGTACATCACTCTGGCTCATCTTCCGGCAGCCCATATCTCAGGACTGCAGGCATATATCGTGAACCAGACATTCATGGGAGGCGTCGTCTACTGGATGAAAAAGTTCAACTTCCCAGAGTTTCTCGGTCACATGAAGAAGTACAAGGTCACAACATTCTTCAGCGTACCCCCAATCTACCTCATGATCGCCAAGTCTCCTCTCGTCACAGACCAATTTGACTCTGTTGAATTTGCGCTCACTGGGGCAGCGGCGCTTGGAAGGGAAACGCAAATAGAAGCGCAGAAAAAGATTGGAAAGGGAAAGGGAATCCTCGGTCAAACTTGGGGCCTGAGCGAAACAACAGGCGGCTTTACAATTCTTCCTCGACATATGACCGACGATACCGGCAGCGTTTCCATGATTGTCGCGAACTGCGAGGCTCGGCTGGTGGATGAGGAAGGCAAAGACGTCGAGGTTGGAGAGCCTGGCGAGATGTGGTGCCGTGGACCCATCGTGACGAAGGGCTATTACAAGAACGAGCAGGCGAACAAGGAGGCGTTCGTCGACGGCTGGTTCTGCACCGGCGATAGACTCTCTTTCAAGGATGGCAAATTTTATTTTGTCGATCGCAAGAAGGTACGTTTTCATACAGCATACCAGAACTCTCACAACCATCGAATATTGACTAACGTGAAATTTAGGAACTCATCAAGTACAAAGGATTCCAAGTCGCTCCGGCGGAGCTAGAGGCCTTGTTGGTGACGCACCCAAAGATTCAGGACGCAGCAGTCATTGGCGTGGACGGAGAAGGGACGGAGCTTCCAAGGTTGGTAGCGGTCGAACTTTTACTTGATAGAGAACCTTACTGACAGCTTCCGCAGGGCATATGTGGTGGCGGATAAGAAACAAATCTCGGCAGAAGAGATTGCCAAATGGGTCGAGGGACAGGTTGCCAGCTACAAGAAGCTGCGGGGCGGCGTCATTTTCATAGACGCCATCCCCAAAAGCCCTTCTGGAAAGATTCTGCGAAAGGACTTGAGGGCTTTGGTCAAGCGCGAGACTTCTGCGAAGCTCTGAGGCCCATGCGGAAAGCTTTTCTTAGGAAATGTTGACAGTAGTCAGACGAAGAATTCTCCGATGGTATGGTGAATGGCCATCACGGTACTACCTTGTAGATATTCGGTTAGCAGAAATGGGAGGCGGCTACGAAGGGTCGTCTAGAGCTTGTCTACCTTGTGCTTAAGGGAAAAGGATACTGTTAATTGGGACTTAGGTATATATTTCATTTCTCTTCAACAGCAAATGCACTTTTCTTTCTTGCGAGGATTTATCCCATACAATCTTCTGTTGCATGCCATTGTCACCTCTCACAGTCTCCATCACAAATACCCCACACCCTATTCTATCAACATGGGCTTTCGAACGGTACTCTGCAATGTCATTGAAGGTATCAAGAGCGATGTAGAAACGGCCGCCTTCATCCTGTTCAACTGCAAAATCCCACGACGACACCGCAGGCCTCTACCGAAACCCTGCTGTTGTGTCGAGCGCGGCCGGACTGGGGTTGACTATCAAGTCAACCCGGACGTCAATACCATTGATCCCCCGCCGCCATACTCCCCGCCTTCATATCCATCATACGCCCCGCCGCCATATTATGGTACGAGAAGCCGATTGGATACATTCCTTGACGACTTATCCTACTACTCCCCTGAGTACTAAGAAGACGGAATGATCCAATCAATTGATACGTGTTGTCCCCACAACCTCCGCCGTCAACTCCGTCGACCGTGGCATGATGAACTCGGTTTCATTAAGAGCCTAGGAGAACTTGAAGACAGACCGCCAAGTACGTCTCCAGAAATAAAATCCGGCCAACCCCCCCTTAGACTATGATCACCATGGCTATGTTAGGGATCTCAATCAAGTAAGCCTCATCTGCACATGTTCGAAGGTCTCATTACAGCCCAGCTAACGCTCGGTAATAAACTCTTAGGACATATCATGTCAGTCTATTCGGACCTCTCCATTTCGACCACTGCATACAGGGGTCGCAGGTAGACAACATCATAACAAGCGTCATCGTTTGAATGTTCTTTAAAGGCACATGCTAAGCCCAGTGCCGTCACATTTCCGATTCTTGGATATAGATTTTCGCCTCAATCAACATCTACCAATGGTAGTGCCGAGGTTATCAATTATCATAGGCCATAAACGATAATGGATTTGCCTTCGATGGTTCTTGCCCACCTGGGACTTTGTCGACTAGCAAATATTGCCAAAACTCCCAATCCATATCCATACCCTCACGTCCCATTGCAAATGAGCCATCATTGATATCTTGTGGTAGCTGCTGCCAGTCGGTCATCACAGCGTTGTTGTCGCCGTCAACGCTAGCGTTGGGCGGAAAGCTGTACGGAGTGTGGGGGCCACCGTCGCCTGAAATCGTCGTGGAATTGCATGTGGAATTCTCTTCTTGAAATCCCGGATTCGTTTCCCTCCGGAGCCTCGACATGAAGGGCGGTTCTGCTAGCGGTGGGAAGCCGCGTTGCTGTCCATTGGCTTGTGCCGTTTTCCAAGACCTGCATGTGAGATTTCCAAGAGCTCGATACAAAGGCTCATTTCGATTCGAAATGAATGACGGATGGTGCTCGTAGACTTGGTTGATCACATCCCATGCTCGCTCTGCGAGCTGACTCTTTGGGCAGCTGGGAAGGGTTCCGACAAGTAAGACAAACGTTTCGAAGGGAAAGAAGTTGGAAACGTGCCAGAGAAAGTGTTGAAGAGAGGATGTTGTGTGCGCCACGATATCGTATTGGATGACCTCCATGCTATTCTCCAGGAGCATCTCTATTTGGTCTGGGCTCAATTCCGTGTCTTTGTCCTGGCGCCGCATGGGATGGCAAGTCGATATCCTGAGTTGGCAAATAGCGGATCGAGCCATGCTGAGCGCTAGTTGGTTTAGGGGAATGCCTTTGTCGATGTTTCTCAGATACCTGTGCTCAATCGTGTTTTCAAGGTCGTCAACAGCTTTCAGGAACTTGGCTCTCCCGTCACTTGATGTTCCGAAACCAGGGAGTGTCTTTTGGTGTATCATCCACGCCCCAATCTCGATTCGGACGGAGCAGAAAGCCATCTCCGTGGTAATTGGGGATGGAGGGGGCGGCAGTCCCATAGACGGTACGAGATCTCCATCATTAACGTTCACAGGCTTGTTGGTGTCACCAAGGAGGTAGGCTGACGGGTTCATGGAAGCCCCAGTCACCTGAGCGGCTCGGCCATCCAGGATAATAATCTGCCACCAAACCCGTCGTCGCATCTCCGCTTCGAAAGGAGAGAGACCCTTTAGGGACGTTTCGCGGTGTAAGCCCATTCTCTGGCCCATCCGGGTGGCTAGGCCAGTCATGAGCCAGAGTATATCGTTGTCGCAGAGATACCGAAGAGCGAGCTTCACCAAGCCGGTCAGTCATGTGTAGAGATCGAAAAAGCAAATCAACGCAGACCTACCAAGTAAATTGTGAATGCTTGAAGCACTCTGAGATTCGTAGACCTGAGGAAGTCGACTCTACTCAATGCCACCTCGGTAGCATACCGGTACCTCGCAAGGTGCTTGTCTCTCGGCTCGTCGAGAAGGTTTCGACACTCTTCGTCTGTCAAGGAGACAACTGCGATAAGATAAATGGAGAATATGAGAGCTTCCGTTGAGCGATCGGTTGCTGTTGGATTTGAGAGCATTCTCAGAACCTCCTCCTGCATAGACGGACCATGGATGATCTTCGTCAGAGGATGGACGTTACTCAGGAAGACCTGCCATAACTTGAATGATTGGATAGGCGATGGGTGTAGTAGCTCTGGGGACTGCATCTGTTGGTGGCCGAAAATGAGACTGATTTGGGGTGGAGACGAGTGTCTTGCTGAATATTTCTCGTCCTCTGAGCTCGGGCTTCTGGGCCCCAGCTAAGATGTATCGTTAGTCGGGCAACGACTACCATCGCCAAGGGGACTCAATCTCCCTTACCTCACCGCCGAGGCTCGTCCACAGCTTGTTGCTTTAGAACAAAATCATTAGGCAATACACTACAAGTGATTTTTGCGGTCAACTCACTCCTCAACATAGCGTCGCTCGTCTCCGTTTGCAACGACTTCCCCGGTACTGCCGGACGGACCACCAGATGTTGGCCTCGGTCGGCTCTGGCTTCCGCGGGCAGATTTGACGCATTCTTTGCCTGTTTTAATACAATATGTGCATGGAATATGCCCGTTGCATCTAATCTTGCGGTTCTGGCATGGGACGCATGAGTGCCCCCTGGTGATCTTCAATTCGGCCATATCGGAGGTTTGAAGGACGGCCCGCTTCGTGGTGGGAAAGGTTCGTGGAAAGCTCGTATGATGCGGAGGCGGCGTAAATAGGACGGCCCCAGAGAACATGAACGAGGGATGCTTTTCAAGGAATCCAGCTGCCCGCCAAATCTCCTCTTTACGCCGGATACGTTTGCTTGCCGAGAAGTCGATGTAAAATATGGATCCCCGTCCAAGGTCTTTCCGTTGGCTTTTGCGTCTGCGCCACAGAATTGCGTACGAAGATCAAGCGAGACATTTTATCAGTGTTGGAGTGCGGACGGTGTGTCGATCGAACGATTAGTGCATGCCGCGTGGTGCCGTTGGTGTGCTTTGCGGGACCGCACGCAGGCGTGATCGAGGCGGCAGAGGAGCTTCGGTCCCGAACTAGTACCCGAGCTAACACACAAAGTCCGCGGCCGCGTATGTTTCCTTCTCGGGATGGCAGCCCAGGTGCCCAAGGCATTCTGAACTAGGGTTAGCGTGGCGACGGTCCTAGCCCATGCGGAGATTGCGCACGTGTGCTACGCCCCTCGGTGGCTTATTGTTTTCATCCTCCGAGCCAGAATTTATCGACGCAAGACCGTGTCGGTCCCTTCAGCGCGGGACCGCTCTATCGGCCCCACATCTGAAATCTTGCGTGCCCGGCGCCGAGTCCCGTTCCGCGATGACGGTCAAGTCTTCATCGGCTCCGTTTTGCGAAAATTTCAATCATGTTGAGTAGGACGACTTTCAATAAATATGCTTCAAAATCACGAGAAGTGCCTTTTTCGAAATATTGAATCCATCAAGCATTTCAACGCGCCAACGCACAAACGGAATAATATACTATATCTTCTGCTGTCTCAGTACTCAACAGCCCTGCTCGATATCTCGCATCATGTCGGACATCCATGACCAGGAAGTATCCAGTTTCCCAGGCGAAAAGGCTACTACAGAACCTCCATCTGAAGCGAACGGGGAAGGGGAAGACGAGTCTCAATACCCTCAAGGGCTTAAACTAGCCGTCATCATCCTCTCCAACATGATCGCCATGTTCCTTGTTGCCTTGGACCGAACCATCATCACCACGGCTATTCCTCGCATTACGGACGATTTTCATTCACTGAACGATGTCAGCTGGTATGCAAGCGCGTATCTGATTACTAGCTGCGCTACGCAGCTCCTTTGGGGCCGTATTTTCACCTTCTACTCCACGAAAGCAGTTTATCTCATCGCAATCTTTCTTTTCGAACTGGGCTCGCTCCTCTGCGGTGTCGCCCCCAACTCAGTCACCTTCATCATCGGCCGTGCCATCGCTGGTGCGGGCTCGGCGGGCATCTACTCCGGCAGCACTATTCTCATTACGAGTGTCACTCCTTTGCACAAGCGAGCTGGGTATGTTGGTATGATGGGTGGTGTTTTCGGCATCGCGTCAGTCATCGCACCTCTCATTGGAGGTGCCTTCACTGATCGTGTAACTTGGAAATGGTGCTTTCTTATCAAGTATGGTAACCCGTCTCTATGACATCAAGTCAATCCGCTAACAGTTCCATTACAGTCTCCCTGTTGGAGGCGTCGCAGTTGCTGCCCTTATTGTTCTCTTCCCGAAACTTTCTCCGAAAGAGTCAACTCCGCTCAAGCAACAAATTAGACAACTGGATCCTCTTGGAAATCTTGTTTTCCTGCCTGGCGTCATTTGTTTGATTCTCGCACTACAATGGGGCGGAGAGAAGTACCCCTGGAATAGCGGACGCATCATCGCTCTCTTGGTTCTTGCTGGTGTTCTCCTTGTCATATTTGTCAGTATTCAGATCTGGCAGCGGGAGAATGCCACAGTGCCGCCTCGTCTATTTACGGTCCGCAACATCTGGCTCGGAGCAGTCTTCTCATTTTGCCTCGGAGCTGTCCTCATTGTTTTCTTGGTCGCTTTGCCGATCTGGTTCCAGGGCATCAGGGGCACCGACGCCGTCACCTCTGGCATCGACACCCTTCCTCTCGTTCTTGCTCTTGTCTTCGGGGCAATGGTATCCGGTGCGATGATCAACGGAATTGGATGGTTCAACCCCGTGTTCTTCTCCTCGGTCATCTTCATGTCTGTAGGCGGAGGACTAATCTCAACATTTGGTGTTCACACACCAACGCACACCTGGATTGGATACCAGATCATTCTTGGCCTCGGTGTTGGCCAGGGTATGCAACTCGCAAGTCTTGGGGCGCAAGTCTCACTGGAGCAGAAGGACGTGCCCACAGGTGTGTCGCTGATGTTCTTTGCTCAGTCACTAGGTGGCTCGGTACTGGTGTGCGTTGGTCAGGCTGTCTTCAATGAGTCATTAACATCTCGACTCAGCCAGTTTCCTGACTTGGATGTTTCCAGACTTGCTGGCCAGGGGGTTACCCATTTGCGTGATAGCATCCCCACGGACATTCTGGAAGCTGTCCTCGCCGAATATAATGCAGCCCTCAGAAACTACTTCTACGTTGGCCTTGCGGTAGCCTGCTTTGCTATTGTGCCTTCGTTGGGCATTGAGTGGAGGAGTGTTAAGGGGAGGACCGGTCATTGAATCGCTAGAATAGCCTTGCGATGGACGGGAGATCTCGTTTGAAGATTTAGGTATAGCTTGCTTTTCGCTCAATTTACAATGAGAAAGAATCATAGCCCGTTGAGTTCGAAGTGCTTTAGAATGAAGTGCATTGCCTATGATTCCCACGGGTGACAGGAAAGAAATAATATGCAATTCGCGGACGACATTTAGAATTGACATACCTCGATCTATTTATCAAGCCCCGCATATCCTTCAGTCAATGACTCCTCGCTGTTGCCTACTTACTGCGCCGCAGCGCAGTCAGATGATCGCCTGGGCTTCTCGAGTAACGACGTGAAAATCAAACGGATTCCTGTCCTGCCATATTGCAACATCGTCCTGCCATTTTAACGACGTGTTATTCTCTAGTTACTTTTCTCCACCTGGGCAGTAACCAAAGTGACCAGAACCATGGCCGAATCGATCCAGGACGGTCCAGACGACGACGTGGTATACATCACTTCTCCTCCCGCAGAGGGTATTGATCCCGACGCTTCGCGTGAGTTCCTCGACCTTTTCCGTACGTGGAATGGGCGAGATATTCCCCTCGCGTCCTATTACATTGATAACCTTTCCCACGATATCGAATTCCAGAACCTGATGCGCTGGGTCACCGATCCTGACACAGGTGATACCGCCATGCACGTCGCGGCCGCTGTTGGAAATATGAAAGCCTTCGATGCCACTGCACAGAGCTTTGGGAGGGAATGGGATCGCAACAGCTGGTTTAAGACCTGTTTCAGAGCCGTCTTCTTCCTTCGAAACAAGGCCGGAGATACCATCTTCCATGTCGCAGCCCGCACCGGCCGTCTGGACGTCATCAATGCGGCCTGGCATCACTTCTGGCAGGTAATAGGCTGGGATAAAGACCCTGACAAGCCCGGCTCCCGAGTTCGAAACCGATGTCGACCTTCTGTGGGTACCCGACTACATTGTAGCTACTGTTCTTCTGGCCAGGAAGAACGCTGTTGGGCACACGGCCGCTGATGAGGCTACTATTTCTGGCTATGCGGACGTCGCGGAGTGGTTAAATCAAGGGCTGGATCGCGTTACTCTTGGCGGTAAAAGAGCTACAAAGAGTAGGATGGCTAGAATGGAGGAGCTAGTCGACGGTCGCTACGATATCGATGAACACCATCTCACCTGGGATCAAATTCCACGGGTAGGGCTATACTATCCTCCTAAGTACAGATCCTAGCGGCAGTGTTATTTGGTCGCCTTTTTGATGAAGGGCATCATTACTTTTACGTTCCTTTCTTGTATTAAGACACTACAGATAGTGTGTTGCAATCCTCAATGTGAGCTTCAATTCCTATAGATGATATGGCGTGAGGAACGTAAAAGCGAAAGAATATGAAAGGGAAAGCAGAACGACGTGAACTGCTCCTATCCCCAGTATTTGTTGCCTGCTTCCTCTCTCCCCCGCACGCGTTATCTATTTCTGAGTGCCACAATCGATTCAGGCGGAACAACTCAAGCAGGACACCATAGGCAACAGTACTTCATTCGTCCAACCCCATCCTACAATCCTTGGCATCACTCTAGCCAAGATCTCGCCATCCGGGGAAATTTCCACCTCTCTCATCTTTTTAAACGCGGCCGATGAAGTGCAAAACTGGGGTCGAACCGCTCTGTCGGGATAGATGTGCAAGTTGTGTACTCGGCGAACAGCTTGGGCTGGGCCTTGGGCGACAGCGCCAAGCACTTGCCAAGGGACTTGCATGCTCATCCTCGACCATTGATTCACGGAAACCAGAAACTCAATTTTCCGCTGCATGCTTACAGCTATTTAGCCATGTGTAGCTAGCAGTCAAGCCCTGAACGCCATTTGGAGAGCTTCGTTAGCTACGTAATCAAGAAATGACATAGCTTCGCGAGCTCAATGCCCATAGGAGCTTGCCTGATCAACCTCTGCTGTCTACAAGTATATAAGGTCTTAATCTTTCCATGGCCATGATGGCGTCTGAGATATTGTTAATGTTGTCCAGAAGTATCATTTGACCCTGGATATCTTTCTACGGTTTCATTGACCAGCGTCTATATCCAGCCCAGACACCACACTGAGGAACCCTCGAAATGAAGATCGCTTCTACCTCCCTCTTTTCACTTTTGCCTGCTTTGGTCCAGGCTGGGGTCATTGACCGACGCCAAACCGGGGACGGACCTGGTGGCTCAGCCGACAGTACCCAGGGTGACCTGGGTGAACGCCCTCCTCCGCGTTTTCCATTCCCAGTCACCAAGTTCCCTGTAGCCAAGGAAACCGTCGTCTTGGAACAGACAATGTACATTCTTCCTGGCCAGGTGTTTGACGGTGGTATGAAGCGATATGAGCGTGTTGAGGGCAGCTGCAACGAACAAGCAGGCAAGTCAACACCTGACAAGGGTCAAACCTAGGCTAACAAATACTGTGTCTTCCAGAGGGCACGGATGCTGATGCTGTCTTCAACCTCCTGCCGGGCTCGACCATTCGCAACGTCATTATCGGCAAGCATCAAGCCGAAGGTATCCATGCACTAGGTGACGCTTGGGTTGAGAACGGTATGACACCAAATGCTGCGCATGGCATCCATCTGACCTGTCTATAGTTTGGTGGGAAGACGTCTGCGAAGATGCTCTTACATCCAAGGGCCTTAACACACAACTACGAGTCATCGGCGGTGGAGCTCGGAACGCAACAGATAAGGTAAGCATTCTCTCTGGGTTGTTCGAAAAGCCTTCTTCTTTGTCTTCAATAAACATTTTACGGGCCGTGCGCTAATATTTTATTCTCCCAGATCTTCCAAGGCAAGTCAACTTCGAAATCGTTCCAGGGGCCAAGCCTATCCTAACAAACAAAAGACAACTCCCTGGGTGGAAAGTACAATATCACCGGTTTCTACGCTGAGGGTTTTGGGGTGAGTGAATCGGCTGTCATAACAGCGTGTAGTTTACTGATGATGTCGGTTGCCAGACTTTTTACCAGTCCTGTGGCAACTGTCTCAATCAAGCAAAGAGAAATGCGACAATCCAAAACGTCGTCGCCGTGAATGGCATCAGGATGGGCATCGTACGTATTCCGTGGCAATCCTGAGCCATTGCAATTTGAAAGGTTCTTTCTGACAAAACTAAAGATCAATCCAAACTACGGCGACGAGTTCCGTCTCAAGAATGCACAGCTTCAAGACCTGGAAGTCATCGTGGACAAGGAAATTGCCAACAATGTCCAGACAGTTCCTTACACCATCGGCAATGGTCCAGACCTCAAGTACGCCTTGTACAATGAGACTAGAGACGCGATCACGGAATATGACGGAGAGGTCTTGAATGCTTACGAGCCTGAAGAACCTTATGAGTGGCTCGAGGATTTCTGGCCCGAGGGCTTTAACTAGGCGATCAGATGGTAGCGGCTTAGATCGTTCACGGAAGAGTTTCGAGGCATGAAGAAGATGCAGATTGTGTGATTCAACGTCGTTAGTCAACAAGAGAATGGAGGTCTGGGACCCCTGCAATACCATGTGGACATGCATGTCTGGCGAGTAGTGCAAAGCCCGGGTCCCGAAAGCAAGGCGATTGCCGGCCCCACATCACAACGGGCGATGGAATTCGCATCGCCGGAACCGGGTCGACATGGACGCGGAAATATTGTCTTTGAAATTTTGGATGCAATCAGAATACCGAGTAGATAATGCTAAATGAAATTCAATGTCGCCGAAATTGGAAGCAGCAACTTCATGATGAGGCCCAACGCAAATGAGGGGCCCTTTCTCCTCAGTCTCCCTTAGTGTCAGGAAGTCGCTGCCGTTGCGAAATGTCTCGCTACAGCCATTTTGTGAATAATTCTTTTGTGAATACTTATATAACTAAAGGGAATATAAGGACCCTTTTTTTCCTCTACCCTAACTTAGGCTAATCTCCTTAACTACTATATCCTTAGATAAGGGTAATAATAGTGATTAATTCTTAGAACTATTTACTATATTTCTTATTAAATATCCTATTAATCTCCCTTATATTATTCTTATCCTTTAGGTTCTTAGTAATCTTTTTAAATTTCTACTTAATTTAATAAAGAGTTTAGTTTTAAGGGTCTTCTAAAAGCTTAATATATATTATAAGGAGGTATAGAGATACTATATCGTTATTCTTAATTATAAGGATATAACTAAATTATTATTAAATATATAGTAAATTAGTCTTTTTTAGATATTTAATATTACTAGTAATAAGAACTATATTAATTAAGTAGGGGGTATATATAAGATTTATTTTAGAGGGTTTTAAATTTAGGCTATAGTATAATAGGGGGCTACTTTTACTTAGTTAAGTAATTTAAAAATCCCCTTTATATACCCTATAAGTTAACTATAGAGGTTATACTATAACCCTCTATATATTTCCCTATTAGAGTTATATAGTAGTTAATAAAGTGCGCCTCTAGGCGGCAAACTGCGAAGAAGAAAAGTTAGAAGGGAAGAAAGAGTCTCGCTACAGCCGTGTTTACCAAGCCACTGCGGCAATGGCGTGGCAGGGAAACCATCACATTCTATCAAAGACGTAGACTTGTAAGACACAACGGACAAGGTCTCGTCTAATTCGTGTCGCTTAGCTGCGGAGAATATTTGGCTTCCACTGAAAAGCATCGACCCCAGCCACAGAAACAAACAACAGATCAGCTTGCGAGGCGAAGCACGTACAAAGGCCAGAATAGCTGCAGGGTAGATCAGCATGTACCCGCACGCAGCAAACACGAGAAACGGGCCGTTTACTCTGCCAGAAATATCACTGACCGTCGATTTGATAGCAAAGGAGCAAAGTTCCAAGTTGTTCCCTCCATCGCAAACAAAGGTGACATCATGGTTGGAATGCCAAAGGATGCCACTTGTCGGAATGTAGACATCGCCTTGGAACTAAGACGCTGGTTACTCCTAGCCAAGCTCGTATTCTGGGATTGCAACGTGACGACTCTACAGACGAAAGGAATACCACGCGAATCAGTTCCGCATCGGTCTGATGCAGACAATCCCACTTTTCGGGATCGGATGCGGGTGCTAATGTGGCTCGCACCGGGGACTTGGCGATGTCCCCTTGCAAACGACCTCAGACATCATATGGCCCGCGCTTCTCTGGTTCGTGGCAAGGGATAGCACTTTAACCAGTGCTTCCCGCCTGCGATTCTCCGCCCCTCCTTCACATCAACCAACCTCCCTCCCTGATGTCACTCGTTCAACAGTGGTAGCTTGACGTTACCAAACCTCATCGCAGACACTACACCGCACAATTCGCTTCACTCAGCAAACCTCAAAACCGACGACATTTCGATGGACCACAAGCGACCATGACCGAGCTGAACGCCTTCATCTCTAACGGCACATGCTACCATGCGTCCGGCAAGAAGGTCGACGAATGGCTACCGTGCGGCAACACTGCCTTTGGCCAATTCACATGTTGCCAACGATCTGACATGTGCTTGTCAAGCCGGGCTTGCTACAACGCACGATTTGGAGTTACCTATCTCGGCGGTTGCAGCGATCCAGAGTACAAGGATGCGAGTTGCCCAGACAAGGGTGCCTTGAGCAGTAAGTCGATCATTTGAGGTCCGACTTGGGATTGAAGAGTGACTGAGAACGCATCAAATCCAGGTCAACCTTGGGCAGGACTCGTGTACTGCAACGGTACATCGGAACAATGGGTAGCCTGCGAGCAAAAGGCACGACCGACGACACTCACATCAGCAGACGCATGCTGGTGCCCCCAAACATCACGAACAGTCGCATTCACCGATTCCTCGATCCTTGAGAATGTCGTCCAGCTCCCTACCGCCCTCGGAGGGAGCGTCATCTGGCAACCTGGACACGTTCCACTTCCAACACAACCCAATACGACACCGACGGGCACAACTACTCACACGACAGCCTCAATAACAAACGCGAGCTCCGCATCGCAGCCGACAGCTACAAATACGAACGAAGAAGATGATGGAACAACCATGACGGCAGGATCCAAGGTTGGCATTGGCGTCGGCGTCGGATTAGGCTGCACCGTTCTTCTCGCAGTGCTGATTTACCTGTTCTTCGCCCGCCGGAAATGGCAGAGGGGCGATATGGCTGAGCTGGACAACACAAAGTCGGAAGGCGGGAATGGCTGGGGCCGCAGTCCAATGACACCGGGGACTGCTGTTTCGGAACTGGACTCCAACACGCATCAGTGGTCTGACAGAATGGAGCTGGACGCGACACCGAGAGGCTCCACGGTAGATGGATTGGATGGGTATGGAAGCAAGGTCCACGAACAAGGTCAAACTTATTCACTTGGCAAGTCGCTGAGCGTAAGTAAGGCGGGGAAAGGAAAGAGGTCACCGAGCCCGATAGCAGAACTTCCCGGATGATTCCATGATGTGAGGGGCTTCGCATGAGATACCACCTGATTTCTTTGGCATGGAACTATCTGTCTACCTTATGGCATAGCTTAGAAACCGCATATTTCCACACACAAATACCACATTCTAATAGGATTCTTTACTTCCAACGCAAGTTAATCGATGTCATGTCCGTTCTCAGGCGAGTCGTCCTGCTTTTCTCTTATTGGGGTCGAAGTGTTCTCGATCAATTCACATGCAGATTAGAATTTCAGCTGGACTCCAAACGCCAGGTCGAAGCGATCTTCCCTTTCAACCTGGGCCGAATCTAACACATTCCTCGTGGCGCACTTCAATTGGTATCTGCGGCATAACCGACATCGGGAACTCCTCCAATTGGGTTGGAGGTCTTAGCCTTAGCGTCGTAAACATGCTGGAATACTTACTGCCGGTGTGAATACCGAAACATCCAATTTACACCTCATCAATACAGAGAACCATGTGACTAAGTCTCATGTCAGCTCGTCGACCTGCTTTTGTTTCCATGATTCTATAAAGTCATGGCTTTTTGGCGCTCCAGCTTGGCAACTTGGACTTTTCGTCAGTATTATCTTCAAACCCATGCGCCTCGTTTTTGTTCCTTGAACATGTCTTTTGCCACCGGTACCGACCCATACGGGTTATGGGAGTCGTTCGTCGAACCTACCCCTGTACAAGCTACCACTTCCGCATCAGTACCTGCAGACTATGGCAGCTACTATACGGAAGAAGCCTGCTCGGTAGCAGAACCAGCCGTCTATTCATATCAAACCGCAACCCACGACGCGGAATCAGCCCCAGTCAGGATACTGCCAACTGTTCCTCCTAAGCGAATTGTCATCTGCTGCGATGGAACTTGGCAATCATCTACGACCGGAGAGAAGAATATTCCTTCCAACGTTACCCGGCTGGCCCGTTCCATTTCCAGAACTGGCGAGAGCCCAGATGGAAGGATCTTCCAACAGCTTGTGTACTATAGTTCTGGTATTGGAACTGGAGACCTGAGCTTCTTGGAAAAAGAAAGGCAAGGAGGCTTCGGCGTTGGCCTATCTGGTGACGTCGTCGAAGCTTACAACTTCATCGTCAACAATTATGCTCCTGAAGACGAGATATTCTGTTTTGGGTTCTCCCGGGGGGCATACACGGCTCGATCTGTGGCTGGCCTTATCACTGATATTGGCATCATTCAGCCTCACGAGATGCAAGATTTCCCAGAGCTGTACAGCCTCTATCGAAAACACAATGATAGCAATAACTTCCGCCAGTCCCCGGAGTATCGTCGGTGGATTACCGGAGTTCCAGCAAAGGATGGTGATTCTTGGAAATACGAATTCAGGAACGCCCGCTGGGATGTGCTCCCGCACAAGATTCCTGCCGAGAGGACCAGGGTTGTTCAGGTTGTTGGGGTCTTCGACACAGTGGGAAGCTTAGGAATACCCGACGTCACTTACAAGCAGTGGGGGAAGCAACTACTTCGACAACTTGCGCCTTTCTTGGGCGTTGACGATGGGGGGGTTTCATAATCCGTGCTTGAGCCCTTGTAAGATCTTTCACCTTTTCCTCCTTTTCTTAACTTTGTTTATTGTTCATACCAATGGAGCCCCAAATGAAGAATCAGGAGGATATAGGGGGACCAAATAGCTTTTTGAATTGCGCTAATTGGAATACAGTCATCAAACATGCGTTCCATGCGATGGCTATCGATGAGCATCGCAAACCGTTTTCCCCGACCCTTTGGCACCGCTCTCCGCAGAACCAGAATGATCTCCAGGAACCCGATCAGAGCATAGTGGATCTCAGGGAAGGATTCATCACTATCCTCGAAAACGGTGGTGATGAGACTAAGAAATCAAAGGCATGGGAAGACTTCATAGCTCGCACGATGTACGATGAGTTGCAAGGGAGCAACTCAGAGCTCGTCCAAGTTTGGTTCCCTGGTGTTCACATCAACGTTGGCGGTGGTAATCCAAATATCCTCACTGGTGATGAATCTGACTTCGAACGTAAGTTTCAAGTTTCCTCGAAAGAAATTGGGTTAACAAATGTAAAACTTGCTCTCATATCCTTCGCTTGGATGTGTGACCAAATTAAGCCGTATCTTCAACTCAACGACGACGAAGTATACAATACACTCTCTACTCTGGCCGATCGTGAAGTTGAACAGCGAAAGAGAATGATCCAAGACCTCAGAAGTGGCAAGGATTACGGGTCCAATTGAGCCACCAAGCCTTTCTGGAAGGTTTTGGACTGTACTGGGGTTTACAAGGCCTCCAAGAAGGGAGTTCCTGAGGACGGATGGGCTTTGGGTACAATTGTTGACAGCTTCACTGGCATGATGAAGATGTCAGGGTCAAAATATCGTACTCCTGGACGATACAAGGACGACAATGCCAGCAAGGACATGAGTGAGACGAAAGAGGAGATTCATCCCTCAGTTTTCTTGCGCCATGAAACTCTCTCAGCTTATCGCCCCTATTCCCTCACTGGCTTCGAGAGATTCGAGAAATCATCAAAGAAGGGTAGCCCCAATAAGGTCATGCGGGGATGGAGGAATGGCAACCTCGCGATCCCAGAATATGTGATCAAGCCCACTGATACTGTCTCGCGGCGATTGGCTGAGTGTTTCGCCGGCGGGAGGGAGTTTGTTGCCAAGCTGGATGCTACAGGGGATGAGGCTTATGGCTATAACTGACTATCCATTGGAAATCAGATTGCCTTCTAATATGCTAGTAGTATAGTCTAGATAGCTATTTTTGTACTGGCCTACCAATTTGTTTGCGTTGTTCCTCCGGATTCCTCAAAGGCTACCTTCGTCGTGATCAATCCGCAACCCAAGCTACAGATTAGGCTCTTTGGACCTCTTGTCCGGGAAAGTTAGACCACCCCGGTGGAAAGCCGTTGGTAATATGGCACATGTCGCTACACTCACCGCGGAGCGCATTGACTCGATCCATGGTAATGCCAGGCGGCGAACATCCAGGGAACTGGAAGACAAACCTTACGGTGGGTACGAGCTTTGGAAGTGCAGACTGTCTGATAGAGTCCAGAGATGGCAACCTTGCTGTTCTGCCCTTGGGTGTTTGTCCCACAACTCCAACGCCTTGATCATTGCCATCGCCTCCCTGGCTTGCGAGTAACCTTCCTTCTGCCACCACGCACCATGCGCAGCCACCCGTAGGCCATGCAATGTGTAGGCTTAGAAGTTCGTCAACCCGACGGTTATCCCTCATATCGACAACTTCCACGAGGTGAGGATTGCAGCCCCAGACTGAGCCCTGTTCGTAGTCGCAGGTCCAACCGGGAAAGCCATCTCTTGACGCAGACACGTGCTCACGAAATGCCAGCCCTCTTGGTATCACGATTTCGACCTCGTGAATGAGCGGATCAAGGTTATGATAGTCGAAGCCATCTTGACGATCACAAATGTCCGATATGCTGCCCATTTTGAGGCCCTCTTGGATTTGCTCTAAACAAAGCACGATCTGTCCAAACTGAGACAATTTGGGCCGTAGTCCGTGTGCAGCGAAACAGCATAGCCTCCCGGTGGGCCTATATTCAATGTGTCACGAGAGGTGACCCAAGCCGTCCGTCCTTTGTGTACGGGGTTTGTTTTCACCCTTCCATTGTTGTAAATGTCGTGAATCAGGGGCCTCAATATCGCCCAGGCCTCCCCATAAGAGAGGGTAGGCGCAGACACTGTAAGACGACGATTCCGGGCTATTCTCTCGCGTGTGTGGTCGGTGGCGTGTAACGTTCAAGCTGGGACGGAGACGAGCCAGATTTTCTCACGGATCTCCATTGGCAGTTGCCGGAATTTTTCGAAACACAAATTTGTTTGGATCTTGGGCACGCTCTGGTAATGCTTGTTGGCAAGATTGAGCAGGACACTCGAGGCTTGCGCACAGTGATAATGTTTCTAATTTGGCACACTATCCCAAATGACGTCTTTTGAAGTATTCTGGTATTTGATAAACTTGCTGCCACCGGAGACTGCGAGCTGTGTGGTAATGCGTTCCGCAACTGGGCGAAGTCGAAGGCCGAGTCGGCTGACTGAAACCCTAAACACCCAGGCAGCGCGACCCTCGTCTCAGAAAGGTCAAACATCGACATTGAGAGCTTCCTTTGTAAACGATGTGGCCGACTCATCTTTATACCGAGAGGTGTAGCCTACTCAAATGCCTCCCAAACGCTGATGAGAAAACGAGAGTTTTGAAGGCTGCCTAGACAACACGACAAACTAGGACCATTCTGGACTAATGGAAGCCGCTTACCACACCTATTCTGACTTCAAATCCGCAGCGCATGCCTAAACTTACGCCTGTCTTCTTCTTGATGAACTAATATGTTCGGAGCGTAGATCTCATTTGTCGTTGCCTGTCTTCCCTTTCTGAGAGAAAAGACGTGGTGGATAGCTACTCTTGCCATCACTGAAACACCAGCTGCTCTATGGATCATCCGATAGACTTACGCTAAATCTAGACTCTAGACTCAATTGAGAGAGTGGTTCATTGAATCTTTTCGTGCGGGCAGATCCAAGCAAGCATTTGTTCTTCGCGATAGCTGTGGGAACAGTCGGCATGCATTCACAGAAGGTACTGCGGATACTGTTTGTACATTGTCTTTATTTTGTATGTACGGAGAATGTGAAGTTGTGAAACCAAAGTAAGGCTGAAAAGCTCAAGCCTCTGATGCAACCAAAATCGCTTGTGTATGTGACCCATTCAAATCGACCCCTATCATATTCCCTCTCGCACTTAGACGCAGGCGACGGTCTGAGTGCAGCTGTCGCCTCGCTTAAGACGCTCGCAGGCGACCTCGTTTTCTTTGGTGGCCTTGGCGTCAAAGGTGTCAGTCTTGCCGCGCTGGCAGACGCCGGTGTTGCCAGTGCAGAAGAGGTTGGTGCCCTGTTGGCAGACAGACAGGTAGTTCGCGGTCTCGTAGGTGGTTGCGCGAGGGACAGACGCAGCCGAGGCGACAGCGGCCAGGGCAAGGACAGCGAAGGTAGGGAACTGCATTTTGAATGTTTTATGCTGGTTTGTTTACTCGAAGAGAGCGTTGACTGAGGAGAATGAGAGTTGATGAAATGAGTGAAGTGGGTTGATAGAGGCTGATTGAGTTGGATGGTGATCAGGAAACATGCTGGGTGTTCATTCTTTTCTTATGTACTGTCCTTTTTGCCTAAGAAGCTGTTGATCAGCGCTCGGGTAGATCGCGATTTCCCTGACTCAAACGAGGTTCCTCGGGTCCAGGGACTGTGTCGTCGCGAATAGAATCTCCCCAGGGGTGGTGTGGGACGTTGGCGGCTGGGCGAAAGCTCCCTCCACTATCAGCTCACTGAGGCCTAAGCGTTGTCAGGGCTCCCGCTTGCAGCGAGGCGAGAACCTTAATGAACATAGCGAGGTGTGGCATTGCTTTATGCGCGCCGAATAGATTAATAGTGACGTTTCAGCCCTCTCTTGTTGGCTCCTAATCTGGATTAGACGGACCTGGGTTATTACCCCAGACAAGTCACCTGGAGGACTTTTTGGATAGAGTTATTACAATTGAGCTCGCTTTCAGGAACGATATTCCGGGTAAATCGGCTGCGTCACATCGGACCACGTTCGAAGCCTAGTCTAAATATTGCCGATACAATCCATCGTAACTTGCTCAGGACTATTTTCAGATTGATCCTGGTTACAAATGCTTAGAAAGAGTCCAGAAGCATTTTGGAACGCTAGCTTCGAGCTTCTTCTTGGCCAATTGCCAGAGTCTTGGTGATGTGCTCAATTCTATCAGTTCTTGGCAACCTCGACTTCGCTCAACGAACATAGGGTTCATCCAATGGCCGATACTCACCTCGTCTGTCTAACTTGGGGGCACTGGATATCATGAGAACTTCAGACCACCTGCTTTACATGCGGGATTCTGCACTGAAAATCCGTATGTATCAATCAATTGATGCCGTTGCATCTATCGAGAAGTCCGCGGTCTGGTATCGGCCACCTCATGTCTGCGACGACCCACAAAGCCCTGGGAACAGGTCGCCCTGACTCGGCAAATCCTGCGTGAAGCAACAGAGCGCTGAAGCTCAGCACCCGTCACCGCAGCACCAGGCCTAGAACTCTCAGTGCCGTCGGCCGCGGGTACATCGATGCTCCTTGCACTTATGCTCCGTTCCGCGCGGCTCAGTTCACAAACAGGACTTTTTTAGACAGACGGACGGGCGGACATTTGACGGTCTTCCAGAGAGACGAAAACTGGATGAATTAAGCCTTGTAATGGTTCGTCTCTAGCCAGACGCCTTTCAATCCGGAACCGCGCACAATCTTCCGCACGCTTGGGGCCAGCCAGTTACTCAAACACTTTCTTCCATACCCATAGGCTCCGCGTGTTGGTGTATTGCTTGAATCCTTCAATGCCCCATTCCATTCCGATTCCACTCTCTTTGTGACCTCCGAAGGGAACATTGGGTGCAACGTCAAAATGCGAGTTGACCCAGACGCTTCCGGCACTGAGGCACCGGGCCATCCGCTCAGCGCGCTTCAAATCCTTGCTCCACACTGATGCACCGAGGCCCGTTTCAAGGCCGTTGGCACGGTCAATTACATCCTCCTCGGAGGACCACTTCAGCAACGGCACAATTGGTCCAAACGGCTCTTCTTTGACGATACGAGAGTCCTCGGGTGGATTATCAATGATCGCAGGCTCGATGAAGTAGCCTTTGGAGGTTTCACGGACAGAACCCTCCAGGGCTGTTTTCCAACCGCACTTTTCGATGTCTGCGTACATGTTCTTGACCAGCTCATATCTGATTCATCGCCGTCAGTAAGATGTTGCAATCGGCAAATCTGAACATTGACAAGTTACTCACTGCATGCTGTTTTGGAGAGGCCCAACAACAACATCCGGCTCAAACCCCCCACCAGTCTTGATGTTGTTTTTAGTGAACTCTACCATGGCATCTCTGAACTCGTCGTAGATCTTTTCGTGGACGTAGATTCGCTTCACTAGCATGCAAATCTGGCCCGAGTTCAAGAAGGCAAGCGTCGCGATCTTGGGCAGACACTTAGAGATGTCAACATCCTCGCAGAGAATGGCAGCATCGTTGCCGCCAAGCTCGAGAAGACATCTCTTGAGAGTTTTGGCGCAGCTCTCCGCGACCCTCTTACCCGTAGCAATCGATCCGGTGAAAGCGATCATGTCAATTCCTGGGTGTGCCGTCATCCAGGGACCGAGATCATCGTTGCCACTAAGGACTTGAAATACTCCCGGAGGGAAGATAGACATTGCGATCTCGCCCAGCTTCAGGTCGCAGTACGGCGTGTAAGGCGACGGCTTCATGATGATTGTGTTGCCCGTCATCAGCGCAGGTCCGACCTTGCCCAAACCCAACAGCATTGGCCAGTTCCAGGGAACAATGGCACCGCAAACTCCAAGGGGAGGAAACGTCGAGTAAATGGTTTTCTCGTCATTGTCCTCGAGAACCTCGTCTTTCACTTCCATGGTTGCAAAAGCACGCAGCCAAGCTATGGTCATGGTCATCTCCGAGTTAGCCAGGCCCAAAGGCTTGCCTTGCTCCATGGTCTGCAGCTTCTCTAGGCTTTCCCTGTTTTCTTCAATAGCATCCGCATACTGCAGCACGAGCTTTGACCTCTCCTCATGAGTTGTCTTGCCCCATGTCTTGAAAGCCTTTCTGGCGTGTTGAACTGCGTCGTCGAGCTGTTGCTTGGTGGCGACTGGCACCTCGTAGAGAGGTTCTTCCGTTGCAGGGTCAATTGAATGCCGGGTTTCAGCTGTTGGAGAAAATTCTCCGTTGATGATATTGCCCGGATACGTCTGGTTTTTATTAGCTGGAATATCTATAAGAAAACGAGGATACTCATTCTACCTTGATATCAATCGCTGGCGCCATGATTGAGGTTTGAGCAGAAGAGAACCCAATGAGATGAAATCTGAGAAGGCTCGTTCAGAAAAACGTGTCAATAGAAACCTCTGGGTGAATCCATATTTTCTGTTGTCATTTATGAGGACACGAATTGTCAGCCGGAACATCATTCCGTTCCGACGGCGATGAAACTTATCTACGGAACACCAAAGTACCTTTACCCCGCAGGCTGGGCATATTCCGATGTATGCCTGCGTGGCACTGTGGAGGGACGATAAGCTGAAGATTTTGGAACTTGCGCTAGCGTTACGTCTTGTGGTTGGTCGCCTTTTTGCCCATCGACCTTGATTCGTCAATAGTCTTACCTGTTCCTGTAATCTCACATAAGACGAACCCTAGAGGATGCTGATCCATGCCAAATCTGGTGTCACCACGAATATCCTAGGATCATGAACAAATGAAACCACTTGAACTCCATGTGTGTTGGGCTGATGCATTGTCATCCTAATGTCGTGTTTGTCAAAGACTTGGCTGTGTCCTTTAACCGGGAACTTTGGTACGACGAAAGATCATTTT